CTAAATAGCTGCAGGAAAATTATTTCTGCCAGTGTTTTGTTTATTTCCTTGCTTTTAAATGACAGATGTAAACACATGTGTCACCAGATGTTGTTTTAATTAATTTAAATATGTCTGTTCTTTATTTCCGTAGGGAAGAGGCGTGCCAGATCTCAATACACGACTTTTGGTCAGGAAGCTGTGGGATACATTTCAAATTCCTATTTTCACCCTTATGGATGCAGATCCACATGGTAAATCTTCAGAATTTCAATGACATAGAAAGAAAWTTWWTTWAAAWWWTTTTTTTTACTTTTCTGAGRAGGCCTTGGTATACAATGGGCTAATGCAAGAAAATCACAAGGTTACTAGTTTGTRCAATTTGAGACATCTGCACTGTTTTAACAGTAATGTGAACCCTGTGCCTTTAAAAAAAAAAAGAAAAAGAAAATGTCACAGAGCATCTTATGATCCATAGTATAAATCCACTCATTTTAATGGGAATTAGAAACTGGGCCAATTTGGGGAGCCTCGGGATATCTTAGCTACATTCTACATTTGGTTGATTTTTACTGTCCTTTAAGGATATTTCTATCATCTGATATTTCATAGGGACACTGTGAGGCAAACGTGAAATTATTTTTAATATTAAAACACGTATGAATAATACTTTAAGTTTATAAGAAGAAGAAGAATGAAAAATAATTAACTTGCAGTCTTGAGCTATCATACCTACTAAGGTTAATTCTGAAGAAAGCAGCAAGATCCAAAGGATCTGTTGGGCATGTGTTGTTGATCTGAACGTGTTCACTGTGTTCAATATCTTTCAGCTGCTCCACATGTGCAGACCCACCCAAAAGCCACATGTACAGCCACTCTTTCTGCATAAAACAAGCCCATTACATTCTGTCTGTGCTAGATTCACTGTGCATGAGTTATTCTATTACATCAGCAGTAAATCTGAGATTTCCCTGAAAAATCAGATTCACATGGAGAAATTCTCTATATACACTGAATACCTCCTGGAAATGAAGGCGATTACTACACAATACAAAGCAGCTGCCCCAGGCAGTTCTGTTGAGAGATATGGATTACAGTGGACAAAGAAAGACCCTTTCCTTGACAGTTGTTGAACAACACGTAAAAAAGCTGATTACTCTTGTTTCTGAAATGATTATGCACAAGCAGTGTGAAACATTTAACTATATAAAGGTGTCATATTAAGCACAAATTTTGATTGTGTTATTTTGACATGCTTTAAAGATAATTGTAAACCATTAAGGACCTTATTAATTATAATGCCATAACTGTTATGTCATAGACCTGAGTTGTTAACGAAGTCTTCTTAAACACACCCAGCACATAGATAACCAAACTCTTGACTTTTGGTATTTGTAAATTAGGTGTAGAAATAATGTGCATCTACAAATATGGATCTGTGGTGAGTATATTTTTTCCATTTCAAGTATATATTTTTGTAATCCAGTTTTGAAGCTGTGATATGCAAACTCTTATATATAGTATTTGGGAAGTCCAAAAAGAAAAGTGTTCTCCATTTTGCTTTGTAGTACACACAGCCCCTGCTCTAGAAGACAAATGAAGACTGGAGGAACTGGGGAGAAGGGAGACATAACTTGTGAGATGGGTGAACTGCCCAATAAAAAATCATGTTACATTAGCAAAGATTTTGTTTGGGGGATGAGAATCTGTCTGTGGATACATGGGTTAGTGCAGAACATGATGGAGGAAGAGGCCAAGAGAAGAGGAAGGTGTCTTATGTTACACGCTAAAAAACAGGTACAGGAAGACAATGCAGAAGGTCTAAGGTGAAGGCAGAGAGAAGGAGCAGATAGGTGAACTGTTCCATAAGGCAGAGGAGAAAGAACATCCAAAGTAAGAAAAACTTTGAGAAAACAATCAGACATTGATGTCAGAGTTCAAATAAATACTTCAATGTCATATAAGAAAGCCAAATTTCCCAAGTTGTTGAGGTGTTCAGCTTAATGCTGTTAGAAAAGAGTGTGGGTTAATAGAATATCATCTTCCAGGACTGAATGAAACTGTTGGATTCCTTACTTATAGTGCAATTATTTCATAACATAATGTATAATTTAACTGTAGTAYTTAGCCATTGTAAATGACAAGTTTTCATGGATTCTGAAAACAGCCACCCAAATTCAAGGAAAAAAAACCCATATCTATGCAGTATTCCTCAATACAACATCACCATTTTCTCTCAGAAACATGKAGTCAAACTTTTTGAAGCATGGGTAGTATTCTGAGGAAATACCACTAACTCCTTATTCTTTTACACTTTTCCTTTAGGTATCTGCTGTAGCCATGATACTGGGCTAGATAAACCTTTGGTCTGGCAATTTTTATATGGTGTGGTACTTCCTAGCATAAAATATGAAAAATTCCCAAGCAGTTTTTAATTGTTATTGCTGTGTCTTAACTTCTGTCTGGTAAGGTGATCTTTCTTATTTTAGTCAATGTCTTTTGAAGCCCATCATCTCACTGTTCCATCTATAAAGTGGCTTGGTCTCCTTCCATCTGATCTCAACAGGTTAGTTATTGTGCCCCAAAATAAAGTACCTCCCTTCTCCTTCATAGACAGCATATGCAAGTAACAGTGAATCTGACTTAATGTACAGAAAGATGGCTGATGATCAAATCTATTACTGTTACCATACATTATTTTGTTCTGTTAGAAGTTGGAAACTGTATTTTTCAAGTAGATAGGATTTAATAATTGTGTTTTCTTTTCAGATTAAATATATGCAAAGATGCCCTGATTCCATTTACAAAACAAGATCAAAAGAAATTAGCAAGTATACAAAAGAGGCCTTACATAACTCGTCAACCAGTGCTGAAAAGAGAAGTATGTATAAACCGATCATCTCCTATTTCTTAATCCCCACAGGCCAAATCCTATCACCTGCAACCCTCCTCCTCACTATGATGACTTAGTAGAGCAGAAGGTTCTGCCTCTCTAGAAGGCAGCAAAATTGAGAAAGTCCATTAAGAGTCCATGTCTCTGATCAATGGRTCTCGATGGGCCACAGTTCAGAACTGCCAGTGCTTTAAGCTGATTTGATGATCATATGTGCTGTGCATGGGATTTTACTGCTTTCCTAAATACTGTGGAATATACTACATCTTTCAAAGGAGAACATGTAAAACATTTGTTTACTCTGTATTTAATGTTCATTTTGATCTTAACTAGAGCTTTTAAACCATAGATCTCACTTTAGGCATATATTGTCTGTAATGATTAGGAAGGAAGAAAAGGTGTTGTGCACTTTCCCTCTCCTGTTTTTACTCACTTTATTAACTGCTTACAAATTTGAGAAAATGTATTCCCAATATATTTGGGAAAACATATGAACATAGAACAAAAGCCAGTCTCAGATCCATGACAGTGATTTTGCAGCACCATTTCCAGTAATATTCTTTTTACTCTATGGCTCTCTATACACATCTGAAAAATCATCTCTCTTGTTTAAACAATTAATTATAGAATCTTCAATCAGGCTGTCACTGCATCACAGGTTAATTTGTTCTCTTTTAGCTGGAAATTATGGCAGCATCTAAAATGAAGGCTGAAATTCAAGTTTTAACTTCTCTTTCGTCAGATTATCTTTCCAGAGTCTATTTGCCAAACAAATTGCAATTTGGAGGATGGATATGAAAGCCTGTTTGCAAATTAATGTTTACTTGATGCTGATTTATTTTGTAACAAGTGTGTAAAAATAGTTGGGTTTTTTTTGTGTGCTGAGTGCTCTTAAAAAATCTGCAGAGGGGTTCAGTTTATAGTTTGTTTTATCAAGGTATCTAGTATGCGATTTTGATAGTCTCTCCTTTCAAAAAGAAGAAATAACAACTTCGTTTATTTGCTTTGGTTTTGTTTCTTCCATTCAATGGCTACTGCACTGTGGCAGTGGGAAATACATTTAAAAAAAGGATATTTCAGTATGTTCTTTGCAGAGAGAAAGTGTTAAGTTCTATTTGCAGCTTAAAAATATGTCCAGGGCTGGCTGCCCCTCTGTCCCAAAGCACAACCGAGCGATGCTGTTGTACCATCCTCTTTGCAGAGTAAAGGCCTTTGCTGACAATCCAGTGCGTGTGTCTGCTGTTGGAAACCCTGAGTCCGACCTGTGGTGTTCGGTGTTCACTGCTGATTCAGCCTGGGCTGGCGCTGCTCTTCTGCACATCTCCAGCAGCCGTAAATGTCCCGACACCCAAATCACKACCTGGCCTTGCTTCAGTGATCAAGGGAGCAGCGAGGTGTGCTGGGTTAGAAGCTAATGGGCAATCCTGCCAATAGCGCGCAGCACAACCGACCCGCGCACTGCCGCTCGCCGTCTCTCAAGCAGCAAGGACCAGGAAACAGGGACTGAAGTGCACACTACACACATTTCACATGCAAGCAAACTGAAAAATACATCATTAGCACTTTCCAGAGTTGATATAATCCCCACGGCCATCAGCAAACGCTGTGTCCAACGCTTTTTAGCGGCAGTTGCACTAGTACTGCATTCAACCGCCGCTCAACTGCCCCCGCTCCGCTCCGCCCCACGGCGCAGGCGCTATCCGCGCGCGCCTGCGCACGGCGGCCCGGCCTGCCCCGCCGCGCCGCGCCTGCGCAGAGCGGCCCGGCCTGCCCCGCTGCGCCGCGCCCGCCGCCCGGGTGAGTGGCGCGCGCTGCCCGCTGCCCGCGCGCGGCCCGTGGCGGCTTCCAGCGGCCGCCGCTCCCCGCGCGACCCGCTCCGCGGCGCCCGGAACCCCCGCGATGGCGGTTGCGGGCGGCGGCGGCGCCCGAGGCGGGTTCCGGCCCGGGGCGCCCGGCCCGACCTCGCTGCCCGCGGCCAGGCCGGGCCCGGCGCCGAGGCGGGTGTCGGGGCCGAGCCCCGCGGGTGGGCGGGTGTCCCGCCCGCGCGTGGATGCGGCCCCCGCGCTCCCCTCGGGGGCAGGGGGCCGTGCGGGCGCTCAGGAGCCTTTCTGGCTTTTGCAGAGGCAAGATGAGCCTGTTCGGGTCGACCTCGGGCTTCGGGACGGGAGGCACCAGCATGTTCGGCAGCACCACGGCGGACAACCACAACCCCATGAAGGTGGGTGCCCGGCGGGGAGCGCGGCCGCCCGGCCTGCCCCGGCCTCACCGCGGCTGCCCTCTGCCCCTGCTAGGACATCGAGGTGACGTCGCCGCCTGACGACAGCATTTCTTGCCTGGCTTTCAGCCCACCGACCTTGCCCGGTAACTTCCTCATCGCGGGATCCTGGGCCAATGATGTAAGTAGTCGCCGTGGGACCCGCACAAGGACCAGCTGGGGGTGTTGGTGCCTCAGCTGCAAGGGGGGACCCTAGAAACTTGCAGCAGGCCGCCTGCGAATCCTTCCCTTTGCACACTGCAGAGTTTGGCTTTCAGTGCCAGGCGTTAAGGAGTTTGACCTGGCTTGAGCTACTTTTGCTGAGAAATCTGGTTATGATCTTCAGAACAGTCATTCCTGTGCAGTGKTTCTTAGCCTCCAGCTCGGGAGACATAGTCAATAGTTTTCCTGTTAGATTTTTCTTACTGCATTTCTTTTCTCCTACTGTCTGTTTCTAGCTTCGTTTTTGGGGAGGATTAAACTAATACAGTTATGCACATGGTTTCTAGTGGAGGAGCCTTAAAGACACTCGTTCCTAGTGGAGGAGGCATAAAGACACTGGTGAATCTTTGCTAGTTTTACWGCATAGTCTCAAAAGGTTTAATGCCCACCAGCCTATTGAAATTCCAGTTTGGGTAGAATGAGATCCTCATCAAAAGAACCGGAGAGGGGRAAGCCGATTCCACCTTGGCGCGTGCTCTGCTCCTTGGGGACCGGCACAGGTTCCGCTGAGACCCTAGGGCCCCTGCGGGTGCTGCGGGATTGTGAGCACTTCTTTAGGAAGAGCTGAAGTTGTTCTGGGTTTGAGGGTGTCAGGCTCTGTAGATGAAGGGGACACAAAGGAAATGAGGATTATTAGTCTTGTAGAGAGTGTTTCTTGTTTAGAGTCATTGGGTTCATTAGATTCAGTCAGGTTAGAATCATACAGTTTTTCGTATGAATGTGCTAACATCTGTGTGTGTCTCTTGTTGCAGGTTCGCTGCTGGGARGTTCAGGATAACGGGCAGACGATTCCCAAGGCTCAGCAGATGCACACGGGGCCTGTGCTGGATGGGTGCTGGAGTGATGTACGTTCTCATATAAAAACAAACAAACTCTTCACCCAGAAACCTAAGCAAATCAGCACGTGGTTTCCAGTCACACCGGAGTGTGTAGATGCATCCCGTGGTTATTTTATAGGCCCGTACTGTATCTCTATGCTAAGGAAGCCTTAATAGAAGAGGCCAACATGGCCAGATGTGGTCAGACATGGTTGAAAGTCTGTTTCACCAACAGACATGGTGAAAGTCTGTTTAAAAGTAAGAATGTATTTAAAACTAACTGAGGAATAGTACAGATTCTTCTTCGGGTTTTAAAGTAAACTCAGAAAAGACCTTGAGACAAGGACCCTGAATCTAAAACAGAAATGCATTTTAAGCTTTTTTCTGATACGTTGTTGATTATTTTTCAATATGTGATTTTTTTTTTTCCAAAGATTTTACCAAACCTAGGAGATTTTGCAGAAGGGTCTTTACAGCARGTGTGCATTCTCAGTACATGGGCATGACTTAGTCATGCTTTTACTAGCAAAATATTTCAGAACTGTTATCAGTACTAAATGTTTACATAATTCAAAGTACACGGGGAAGAAAAAGGCAGTGGTAAAACTTACTACTGTGGGTTTTTTTTCCTTCTAAATTTATAGCTAAAGAGTGTTTTTCAGTATATTTAAACAAAGTAAGCGTGAACACATCAGGGTTATCTTTGCCATACGATTTGGATTGGTTGTAGGTGAAAAGGTGTAAGGAAATGATAAGTTTATAAACATGTTTTTTTTTCTCCTGCAAGCTTATGGTGGCATCACTTAAATGCAAAACTGTAGTAGATAATTGTAAAGAAGTTACAATGCTTAGATTACTTTTTTGTACTACAGCCCATGTACAAAACTATCATTTTTTATTACTTTGCTGTTTATATTACTAGAAATGAACAAGATGAACAGTTTCTAATAGATAGTACATGTTAATTAATGGRATTTTTAATTTTTTATAGGATGGGAGTAAAGTATTCACAGCTTCCTGTGATAAAACTGCCAAAATGTGGGATCTCAACAGTAATCAGGCTATTCAGATTGCACAGGTAAGCGAAACCCCAACATTTGTGTGTGTTTTTTTGTGGTTTTTTTTTTTTGTGATTTTTTTTTTCTTTCACTTTTATTAAGTTGATTACATTTATAAGGTACTTAATGAATTATTTAGTGCTTCCAAAATAGATGAAATGTTTGTATGATGCCTTTTACATTAGTAGATATTGAAGTGTGCAGATATGAGGACACCTGCCGAGTGACTGCACRAGGCTGTGCAGCGTTTCCATGCCCCTTATCTGAGCGTTCAGCCTCTTACTGTTGACTTGTTATTACTGTTATTTCTGCATGTTGATCACTATTGCTATTACTATTATTTGAAKTGGAAAAAAAAACAGATTTTAAAATAATGGTTTTAAAGTCTTGTTGGTTTGCTGAGCATAAACCTGTCTGCTGTAGCTCTTCTCAAAAGAACCTTTTACTAGTTAGTAATAGTTTGTTATTTCTTGGGAAGTCTTGATTTCCAGCATGATGGATCATGTCTTCATAAACAAATAGAAAACCCTGTTGTGCAAGATTCCTATTTCTGCTGTGACCGTCTCCCTCTGTAGGGTGACCTGGCAGGATTTTTTTTCATCAGAAGTCATTTATTTTTCTCAGTGGGTGTTTTTACAATGCTAAACACCGCAATAAGATAACGGATYCACAACACTGATCCTAACTGCCAGACTAAACGAATCACTTTTTTGAGTAAATGAATATAAAAATAAAGCTTAAGCAAAAAATATGGACTATTATTTTAGTAACTGTAGATGTGTTTGTCCTGTCTCCTCTTCAGCACGATGCTCCTGTTAAGACTATCCATTGGATTAAAGCACCAAATTATAGCTGTGTGATGACAGGAAGCTGGGACAAAACTTTGAAGGTATGACGTTCACTTGAAGAAAAGGGTGCTAATATCTGTACRTAAAAATATTTATATAACATAAACATATGTTCTTAAATATGCTAATACAAGGAACAGATTAGCAAAGTAGCCTGATGTACTCAGTTTCTGGACAAGAGTGAAACAACTTGTTAAACTTGTTACTCACTTTCTCTTTGCTGAAGGAACTTGTATGGTTATTCCAAGCATAACTTTCCTTTTTTTTTGTTTTGTTTTTTTTTTTTTGTCCCTATCAGTTCTGGGATACCCGTTTGCCAACCCCTATGATGACACTGCAGCTCCCTGAGAGATGTTACTGTGCTGATGTGGTAAGCCTGCAAAAATGGTAAAGGAGCATCAGCTACTTGGGCTGGAGTATTAATAAACTTAACAGTCTTTGTTCAGAGCTTCTCTAGGTTAGCACTAAATACAGACTGTTAATAATTTTTCCCTGGGCAGCCTTCACAATAAGATATAAACTGATTTTCTTGATCTGTCYTATGGAGAATAGGTGTTTGCATCATGCAGAGCACCCCTAATATTCTTTTCTGTGCAATTTCTGGATCAGAAAACATGTCTGCAGCTGGCATGTTTTGTTTTTCCTCTTTGTTCTCCTTCTTCTCCCCCTTTTCTGTCTTCACTCCCTGCTCCCAAGAACAGTCTAATTCCTATATAATTTCTTGCTGAGTTTGTGTGAAATAATGAATAGAATTCTCTGTCGTGCTGTTAACTCAATTTTCTTCCAACGTATTTTGCAACCTCATCCAGGTTCATCCTATGGCTGCTGTGGCCACTGCAGAAAGGGGATTGATAGTTTATCAGTTAGAGAATCAGCCTTCTGAATTTAGAAGAATAGAATCTCCTCTTAAACACCAGGTAAATACACCTGTAATAAATGTATTTATACAGACTGTCAAAATTTTGGACTTATCATTTTTTTTTAATAAAAACAAATGCTTTAAAGGCTGATTTCTTTATCTTGTTGTGGCACATATGCCAGTTTGATTTTCATTACAGTCGGATATGAAAATAAAATTCCCTTTCCTGCAATTCTGCCTGTGTTGCCTATGGTGGGACCCCGTGAAATGAGACTTTTGGAGTAACTGGAGTTTAACAAAAGAGCCTTGGGGTTTACCTTCTTCCTTCTAAATATGACTGTGGTCATATTTAATAATTTTGTTATATGTGCGACATTACCATTGAACTTCATCATACCCTGCAGACCGGTTGTGTGCAGGGGCTTTGCCAGAGTTAGGGAGAAAGATAGCCTGCTATAAAGCTTAATTTCAATTCTAGGTTTGTTTCTGCAAGTTGTTAGTAATTCTGCAAATGGTTATAGTCTGCACATACAATGTACAGTACTTTTCTCAAGGATTTAAGAATGTAAATATTACAGCTGAAATTCTCAAGAAAATTTGGCCYATCTTAACTTTGTGTATGTTTCTGTTAGCATATGTTCGAATATGTGGTGTTTTGTKTCTCTATTCACATCAGCCAGCATTCAAAAAATCTGACCCTCAAGCTATTGTCTAAAATGCTCTGTATTCTTCTCAAATTTAGCATCGCTGTGTTGCTATTTTTAAAGACAAAGTGAACAAACCTACTGGATTTGCCCTTGGAAGTATTGAAGGAAGAGTAGCTATTCATTACATCAATCCTCCAAATCCGTAAGTATTAATAATTAAGATATTATTTATTTATTGCCTGCTTTACAAGGAGGGAAAGTAAAAAGATWTGTTATTTTTCAGTGCAAAAGATAATTTCACTTTTAAATGTCATCGCTCCAATGGAACAAACACATCAGTACCTCAGGATATCTATGCTGTGAGTATTCATCACATTTCCCTGGGTTTTGTTACACAGTGCAGTTAGAGGCTACAGATGCCCTGTATGCTCTTCTAATGTAAAATTTGTTGTGATTTTTTTTTTCTCCTTGACCTTTTATTTTGCCTGAAGTTGTTATATACTTGTGCTTAAAGAGCCGTAGTATGAGTTGAAATGAATGAAAACTTTCCATTTCTTTCAAAATAAACACTACATCAACTAGTTATAAAATCATAGGGTGGGTGGTGTTTACTATGTCTTTTTATTTTATCCCACTTATTAACCTGGTGTATAACGGAATACGTCCTTGACTTTTTGTGTGATGGGATTATGCCATTGAATTCCTAGCTACTGCAGAAAAATCTGTTAAAACATTAAAAAAAAARAAAAAGCCATCTCTAGGTAGTTGCAGAAAATCTTCTCTCTGTATTTTCTCTCTTGCTATTGACTGGACATGTTAAGTGTTCCCATTGCCTGTATATGCAGGGGGTTTGCATGTCATTCTGCATGATTTTGCAGGTAAATGGAATAGCATTTCATCCTGTCCACGGTACTCTTGCAACAGTAGGATCTGATGGTAGGTTCAGCTTTTGGGATAAAGATGCACGAACAAAGCTAAAAACGTCAGAACAACTTGACCAGCCAATATCTGCCTGTTGTTTCAACCATAACGGGAATATATTTGCATATGCTTCCAGCTACGACTGGTCAAAGGTAAGAAGGGTTTATACCCACATTTTTACTGATATCTGACCAAAAAAAAAAAAAAAAAACTGTCCTTTTCCTGTGAGGCTTTCAGTGTCCTTTATAAATACTACGAGAGTTTCCTAATGTCATAGGCACACAAAAAAACCTTCCCGTAAAATGCAGCACTGAAGTGTTTGAGTGCCATATGCTGAATTGCTCTTATCATTCAGTGAAGCTTGCTGGTAATATTTATTGATCTATGTTTCTTTATAACTATGTTTTTATACTTTATGATMATATGATTTCCTCTTTGAGCAGGCTAAGTACATAGGACTTTTCTTTTTTTAGGGTCATGAATTTTACAATCCGCAGAAGAAAAACTACATTTTCCTGCGGAATGCAGCAGAAGAGTTAAAGCCTAGGAATAAGAAGTAATGAGCATGAGTCTGGCTTGTGTTGCTGTACTGTTTTCCTGCCATTCCTGCCCCAACTCCCATGCTCTTCTGCCATTTGTGCCCTGTCGCGCCACGGTTCAGTCAACTTTGGATCGCTAATATTTAGCAGGAACTGTATAAATTACATTAAACATTCTGACTTGCTGGAGAATATCTTTCCAATTAGACATGCTGAGTGTAAAAAAGAAAAGCTAATATTCACACGACTTAACCCCTGTATGTTCCACAGCAATAATATTATTGCCGCAACATCTCTACATGTGGGTTAAGTATTCCTGCTTAGAAGTGCAAGGATTTCTATCTATGGATTTATTTTATTAGTACCTTGTTTAAAAATGTTCATCGTAATAGTTCTGGAGAAGTTGTATAAATACTGTATTTTTTTTTGTAAGTGCGTGAAGAATTGCAAATAGTTCTTCTCGAAGGAGGCTTGATATTATTATTATTATTATTATTCAAGTTTTTTTTTTTTTCATTGGTTGCTGATTTTTAAGATAGAAGTATTGTCTACGGTATGCCAGGCAGAAACACCGTGCAGATTGTTTTCCCTCTTTTTCTGGATGAATTTGGTAGGTATGTAGGTGGCCAAGAATAGTGACAGAAACTCAAGACCAAGAAGATGGGCACTGTGCAAACCCCCCTTTCCTCCCTCCTTGCACTCCAGCAGCGCAGGTGAGCTCTGAGCCACCCACTACTTGTTCTAGTCCAAAGGAGAACTGCCACTTGTGCCAAGTAGTATAGTCAGTAATGTGAGCGATGCGTTAAAGGTCGTGTTTTGATCAACACCAAAACAACATATGCAAAATCTTTGTGGCCTAAACTGCTTTAAAAATGATTTTTTTAAAGCTGGTTCTTTTAAGATTGTCTTATTTCTTTTTGTCCCTTAATAGGGATTTCTGGAGTGAAAATTTTTCATTTTTGCATTAGCTAGGCAGTAAGGTGAGTTTCATCCCTCTTAAAAATGCTGTGAAGCAAAGGTAAAACAGTGTGGGTCTTTCTGACTTGAATCTACCACTATTTAGTTCTAACTAGCCCATGTACACATGCCAAAGTTTTCTTTTTAGAAGTGAGTGCTTATTACTCCTGTTAACTATTATTTGTTTGATAATGATAAAATAAAAGTGGAGGGCAGCATGTATAGAAATACCTGTCATATTGTAAAAATTCTCTGTAAAACTGTATGTTGTAACACTTACGATTATGGATTCATGCTACATTTCAAATAAAATTTTTACTAAATCCTTTTCTATATTCAGTAGCTCTATTTTAATAATATAGGCAAGGTTTAGTACTTCATTTGTAACAGCAGCTCCATGTCCTTTCACTGCAATTCAGATGAATTTTTTTAGAAACAAAATACTTTTCCCCTCAACGGCATAGGCTGGAAATCTAACTCATTTTCCAGTTGCAAATTCATTAGGAATCATCCCTGTGGTTTTGCTGCAGAGAATTAAGAGGAGTCATGTTAAATGTAAAAGCCTTTTGTTTCATGAAGATTAATAATTTGAGCAGCCAAACACCTGACGATTTGTCTTCAGTGTGAATGAGTCATGCTCTCTGCAGAGTCTCTGGTTTCATRGTTCCTTAACTTCAAGCTCTTCTTTTCCGAGTTTGTGGGTTCTTGCTTGGTGTGTTTGAGGCAAGTTCTTGAAAGAAGCTACTGCTCTTTGAGGAGCTCCTTACTGGGTTTTGTTCCTCAAGAGGGATTCCTTCCTGCTACTTGTGTATTCTGTCTGCTTTTGGTTTTCCCATTCACAGGCTAGTCATTTTACTGAAGCTAGGAAAGAGCTCCCAGCTGTTGCAGCACTCGCTGGTCGTTTGCTCCAACAGTCCTTTTGTTTCTGTTGAATGTCACTTTTAAGACTGTGCTTGCTGCACTGCAGTCCTTGGCTGTACGTGCATTTTTCCAGTCTTCCCTGGCTAAAGAATGCCAGCAAGCACCGAGCAGGCTCAGCGGGAAGCGTGGGCCTGCTCTGAWGACAAAAAAAGCAAATTCTCCTCTCCTTTATGCAAAACTGCCACTGGTATAAACAGGGAGCAATGAGTGTTGTCTCTCTTGCTTAAAAAAAAATCTTTTTTTTTAATACCTAACATAGATAAAATGACAAGAAAACAAGATTCACTCTGGCTGCTCAGCTACCTTTCTACTGCATCCAATGGACTTGCACCTACTTAGGTAGGTACTGAGTTTGGCCAAAATACATTTTTGTTACAGAGCCAGCACCGAATCAGTTCCTTTTGTGTGGTGCTAGAGTTTTATATTAATAAATTGGTGCTTACTTGGCTGTGGAAATCACTTTATCTGTCAGGGAGGGTTCAGAATTATTTAGTCATTGCATTAATTGTTCAGCCTAATTTTAGCAGGGCATATTTTCCATTACATTCCTGTGCACATCAGATATGTACAGCTGGGAGGACAGAGTCAAACTTTGAACTGATTTGTTTTCCATTACCTAAGTTAGGAGAATGCATTGGCAATTTACTCTTCCCTGGAATTATTGTGAGGTTCTCATCTAAAATATACACAGCTGCATCCCTTCAAGCACCAGCCACACAGAGTGAGCTGATTCGTGTGCAGTTCAGTGTGTGGCACGTTCTGCAGCCGTAATAGCTTGCACTTACCTGTCCAAAAAAGCTGGGTAAAGTACAGTGTTGCATTCTGCTTCACCTAAAGCCAGCGATTGGAATGCTGGATTATAAAGGAGCAAGTTTTTACTTGGTTAGCTTCGTTTCATTCTTTTTTTTTGCAAGTTTGCTGTTCATGCTCATAGTTTGATTGCAGAAAAACAATCCTTGGAAGAAAGAGCACCTGCATTTATGATGACTGCTACAGTAGTGACATTTTATAAAATTTTTCATATGATCTGTCTTATCCTTCTTGTTGATAATCTCACATCAGTTAATTAAGTGTCAATAAACTGGTGGTGTCCGCGGGCCCAAGGCTTCCACCAACGAAAGCCAAGCCGGGTTTGCACATCTGCAAGCACCGCGGCAGTGCCTCTTAACTTGCTCTCTGTCACCTGAAATGCAGTAGCTCGAGTGCTGAGCAGTGTCCGAATCTAGGAAAATAGGTCAGTTTGGGTCATTCTTATGTGAGATATGGGTTGGAGATAGGGGTGGGGTTAGGTTGCTGTGGGAAATGTCAGTAAGAGCATTGCCCTCTTCCATTCACTTGTGCTTAAGCGCAAGCTGCAGCCGAGGTGTTTGGGCAGCTGTGCGTTACAAGGCTTCATGTCAAACCCGTCTCAAAAGGCCCATCTGGCCTTAGAAACGATAGCAGACCTTTATTTGCTCTTCTCCTGTCGTTGCTATTCATGGAGATGGACCTGGGCTGAGCACATTTTTGCATTCCTAGAGTTATTAGCTAAATATGACGTTGGGTTTGGTGTAATGCCAGTTTACCTCTCATCTTCCTCCAAAACTTCTGGTTTCCTGATTTTTAAATACCAAATTTCTGTGCTTTGTAGCTATATTTTACAATTGTTGTGTGCAGAGAGGAAGGGGAAGGGGTTTTCACAGCCGCCACTGCAGAAAGCTGGTTAAGCATGAAGGGAAGATACATCTTTCAGGTAGATTCTGAACCCATGACACAGCCAGCTGAAGAAAAAAGACTTTTTTTGTTGTCATTTTTCTTAAGTGGACTGCTCTGTGGTTATTCATCTATCAATATATGTGGCTGGTGCTTCCTGTTGATACATTTGTTGGTTTAAGAGTTTTTGTTAGAGCTAGGTGAATCATCTGTTAATGAGGGCAGAAATGTCACTGTTTTCCCAGGTGAACTTCTGCACAAGCTATCAACTATAGATCTTTTCATGTGGATACTTATTTCAAAAGGCATCAGTATTTTCTAAAGAGCTTCAGTTTAATAAGCTTCTCTAGGACATTTACCCCAGCTTGTTCAACTAACACACCAGGCAAGAGCCATCACTAGGCCACTGGTGCTGCAGCACAAGGGACAAATGGAATAGATGAGACTAAAAACAAGCTAGGGTTGGACTTGTCTGTTCTGGCRGCAGCAGCGATGCTGTGGGGGGGCCGCGTGCCCCCCTGCTGCAGCTCTCTGCGGAGGGCAGGAGGTGGCAGCATTGGTGGCTCCTCGCAGCTCTCGCTGCAGCCGTGGCTGCCGCGCACACTGGGCTGCACTGAAGCTCTCTGTAATTAGGCCGTGCAGAGCCCATGACCTGCACTTATGCTGCAATAAAGGCCATGATACCTCTTAATCCAATGCTGCCTTTTTATTTTAAGCATTTCTAAAATCCCAGGGAAAACAGCATTTTTCTTGCATTAAACAGTCACGAAATACAGTGTGCAAGATGATGCATGCACATAGGAATATATTTTAATCCAAGAGCTGCAGGAATGTATGTGACAGCTCTCTGTGTATAAACCAGATCCTTTTTAGAGCTATGAGATGCTCTTTCAGCTGCCCGGACACCTATCCGAGCGAGTGCCGAGTCAGGGTGTATGCAGGGTATCAGCTAGGCAMGTTCTTAACTTAGCTTTCAAAGCCACATCTTACTAATTTAACCAGCTTTGTTTGGTTGTCTTCTCCCTGATTTTCGTGCTTCCAACACAAAAGCAGGTTTGAAGCCTGCAGGAAAGCTTGCAGCCACTTTGAGTTCAGAAACTGCCTCGGTGTGTGACACCTTCCACGTGCAGCCGGCGCTGGTGGCACCTGCAGGGGTGAGGGACTGAAGTGGCAGCCGTCCCATCGCCGCGTCCATCCCCGTGAGCGGCCAGCAGAAGCCACCCCAGCAGGACCAGCTCCCGGGCACCCATTTCAGCTCCATGGGACTCATTCCTCAAGTGCCAAGCACAGCTGTGTGTATTTGTGCACTTTGCTCACTTGTGAAATAGGAATAATGCTGCACAGGATAAAGGAGGTTATGAGTGTTTAGGAGTTACCTAGAGCAATATGAGATTCAGTTAATCTCACAAAGGGCCCGTGTGTCCCTGGGGCACTTTCCCCATGGCAGAGTCATTTCCAATGTTTGTGCTCCATCAGCTCTGCAAACACTTTTTGTTACAGCACATAAAAGATACAATACCTGTCAACATTAGCTTTGTAAAGAAAGAAGTTTTCTTCTGTTGACTAATTATCCAGTGAATACATTCAGCTTGAGGAGACACTTTAATAATTTAGCAGCCATGTGCTAGGTAATATAGGAGCTTTTGTCTTACTGGCCGCTTAGATCTTGACACGAGGGAAACCCAATCTCTGGCTTTATGCATTCAAGGAAGTGTTTCATATGGCCCSGTATCAAGTGCCACTGAAGAGCAGGCCTAGATAAAAGATTAGGGAAATGGGCTAGTTCTGCATAGGGAGACTTTACCCTTCACTGCCCAGTTCATCCTTTAGGCAGCAACTGCTTCAGAATGTGAGCCATATATAAGTTAAGATCWATTTATCCATTGCTGTGATAATTAAAAGAAATCTGAAAACTGTTAAGTATCTGGATAGGTTAAGTCTTTATCTCCTTCCTGCTTGTATCTCTACATGGTATTATTAAAGGCATCGCAATTTGATGCGAAATGCTTTCAGTCTTTATTGTTTTTAAATGTAAATCATTAGTAAAGCCTCGGTTAGCTGAGCCCAATGGGGAGAATGATGATGTTCAGTTACTGAGAAAACTATGTAAAGAAAACTAAAGTGACAAGCAGGTTTTCTTCCAACCCTGAGAATACYCCTAGGTATTTAAGCACTGTTCATGCCCTCTTCTTGTAGAGATAGGAGCTCAAATAATCTTTTCTGAGCCATTCCTCTCTGCTAGCCTAGCATATAACAACAAAGCAACTAAGCTGCAGCCACGAGAAAGGCATTTTGTTTAGACCATAATTATTGTACTTGGTGAAGTGCAGAATACGGTAGCACAAACTGGAATCAACCTAAGAGCTGTGCCTCCTATAGGAGACAGTTTGTTCGCATATGACTAAAACCAGAATTAAAATATAATCTTGTTTTATTTCCTTTGGAAGGGCAGCTCTTTGCCGTGTTCCTGCTGCACCTCCGAGTTGGGTTTGTATGGACTCAGAAGGACAGACAGCACTTACAGGTAGCTGCTTCTGACTCTTTTGGAGGTCTCTTGCTGTTTAATATTCATTCCTGGTTTAGACTAGCGGAGATACAGACTGTAATTAGTTGTTTATGAATAAATGTTTAATGTATAGA